ATAACCAGATAACCAGGCAAGTGTGAAGAACCACAATGATTTTTTTTGGCCGGAATACCCTAACGCAATTAATTTTTCTCCTCATAGTTTTTTTAATGAATTCGATGCCCAAATTTCTCCATTCAAATAAATCGCTCTGGAACTGTATGTATTTAGGTATAAATTTTTCTATTTACAGGTTATATAAAAGGTTGAATTGGTAGCATACTAGGGTGTTCGAGTATTAGCTTTTTTCCGAAAACCCGTTTTTGAATTATTCAAAAAATCGCAATTTGAAAAAAACCCGGTTCCCCATTTTAAAATTAAAAAAAAAAAAACGGATAAGAATAGAGTTACTCATACTGTTAGTCAGAAATCATACCAAATTTAAAATTTGACTCCTCCAAATTGGCTTTAATTTAGAAATAAGGCAAAATAAGTTCGAAGTATTTTGGATTACAAGTCAAACAGAAAAAATTAGGGAACAATTCACACACAATCGGGTTGGCCGATCGTAAGAGGATTAGATCGCTAAAATAACCGTTCTTTTTTCAGGAAAAACTCGAACATGTAGAACCGACTGTCCTGGGAATGAGAATACGCCATCCTCTGAACCAAACCGACTACACAAATATAGTATATTATAGGTAGGCCATTCATCGAGAACTAATCAACACATTCGTCAACTCTCACCTCTTGAATTCCATCATCAGAGACAAATGTCACCTATCACAGAAAAAGAGCTCGAGTTGCTTCGTGAGGCTCGCGATACTCCCGATAAGATGCCCCACTATACCAGCCACCCATTCACATCACCTTATCTAATATCTCTCTTTCTACGGCCTATACCCGTTGAATCTGGGCTTTACTTAAGCCTGCCGTTAGATAAGAATGAAGACAAACTGTAGCCTATTCATTTATTCGGACAGAGTATAGTAAGCAGCTTAAACTAAAAAAAAAAACGGTGAACAATTTTCGTTCGATTTTTTTGATTTTTTAATAAATTTTCCAGTATGCAGTTATAAAAATAATAAAAATTTTTTTACTAGTTCCCTTTGCAATAAAATAAATATTTAGAATTTATAGATTTTGGTGTATATTTAAATAAACTAGGTGAAACCCCGGTTTATTCGATTGTAAAAATCCGATTTACTCGCTATCAAGATTAAAAAAAAAACGCCTGAAAAACAAGAAAACCCGGTTGTAACCGATTTGGAAAAATCGAGTCAATCACTGTCGTGAATACCAATGTGACTATGTCCTGTCAATACACGCGCCAAAATTAATAGCCGCGGCTTTATCAGCTCAAAATGAACCATTGGCTATCTCTGGTTCACTCTGGTTCAATTTTGGAGTCGTACATACCCTGGCTTTCGCCCAACGTTCATTAATCCTAAGGAGCCCATCTGTCTAAAGGAAGTCCGCATGGAGTCAAACCCAGCGGGACCTGCATACAACACGAAACCGCATTCTTCTTATACATAAAGTATGACCGAGTACTCTGGTCTTCCATACTCAACTCCCATACACTTTTCTTAAAAAATGTCATTGGCATTTTGTACTCGTACAGATCCACTAGGCAATTTGCGTATAGCATTCGCGAATGTGAAAAATATGACATTCGAAACATCCCTAGTACATACATATGTAGATATATTTGTGTGTACGTTATGTACGTTATTTTCCTCCGAAGTGTAGTGCATTTTAATAATGGGGCAGTAAGTCTGGCTTGGCTGGGCAAAATGCCTAATTACATACTTACATACATACATATGTATGTATGTATGTATGTATATGTGCGCACAAACGACGATAATTAACCCAGCTACCCAGTTGGCAGTAGTGAGCATGCATAACACCGCATCTCAACCAATTGGTGTTATCAACGGTAACATATTTAGGTAAGTATAGTTATAGGTATGTATGTGTGTATTTGTACAATATAATTTTATGTTTGTCATGTTTAGCACTAATTTTACTTACCGTAACATATTACATGTGAACATAAATATACGTTTTTTATATACATACATACATACATACAAATATATAGTATGTAGTATAAGCCGCAATGTTGATGTAATTGCAAGTGTTATACATTTATATGTGAGAATATGAATGAGCAATTCCATAAAAAATCAACGTTAAGCTGATGTTAAAAGTTAGTTTAGACTAACTGCATACCTTGCAATGATAAATACATGATTCAGTGCCAGCGGTCGGTATACGTTGCAATCACCGTTACGTGGACATTCAATCCAACGGATACTTTTGATGTGATCCGTGTATGGATGGATATTCTTATGAAATAAACTGAAATAAAATGCAGTTTTCTTGATAACTTTCATAATCAGACAGAAGTTGAAAATTTGTATAGGTCGTTCGATTGAAAAATATTAGGTATCGGACGGGCCTGTAGATGGGCTATAAGGTTTTGTTGGTGTTTTTTTTAAGGGTTTCCACTTGTTAAAAAAATTAAATTGAAATTATTTAATAACCTGTTTAAAAAGTCAAAATCAACTTGATTTGCAGGAATTAGGTGAGTGAAATATGTATCACCATATAGGTGTCAGACAATGTTGCCAGTTTTTTTTTCAAAAACTGTAATTCTCCAAAAGAAAAAATATTTTTAACAAAAAAAATAACTATAATTTTAGTGCACAAAAATAACAGGTTTTTTTATTTGCTCTTTCGAAAAACAAAATACCGTACTTTTAAATAAAAGAAAAAAAAAAAACAAATGTTTACATTCCATGAGTAGTTCTTTTTGTCTTAATTATAAAACAAAATCAGCCTCATGAGTTTAATTTTCCCTAACTGGATTTTCGGGTGAATTTGATTTCGGTCGAAACTGAATATTTTTGTTTGGAATACCGTAGGCACACTTTTTGTTTAATTATATCTATTCCAAATTTTTAATTCTATAGTTATCTACCATGGTGGAATTATATCTGGTGGAGTAATTAAAGCCAAAGGCAGCCAAATTTCTGAAAATAAAGCGACATAAAGCGAAATCTCCGAGATGCTTGGCAAAGTCTTGGCGAGTCCCGAAAATCCCGAGATTCTTGGCAAATAATCCCGCTAAACAAAACAGCTGATGCGTCTAATGTTGCCGAGATCAACATCGAGGCATATTATTGTGGCGTGATGACCGGCTGAAGTTTCAATCACGTTTCGGTCCCTAAACCAAGTCAAAATAAATACATCCAATACACGTTTCAAATTAAGCAATAAATTGATTATAAAATTAGACCTTGAATTTATGCATTTACAAATTGAAAAAAAAAACACATTACATTTAGCGGTCAAATACACAAATTGATTCTTTGATATTTCATAACGCGCAACTGCGTACTTGAGGCGACCAATGGTAAAATATAATGGAAACTGATGCAACACTAAATAGTATTAATCGCATGCAAATATGTATATACATATGCATAATAATATTTCAGTTCAACTGCAAATTATTTTGTGTTCGCATAAGAATTGCTTTTCGAAATAAATTATATTTTACTATATCAAATGGGATTTGAGCAGAACGATTTTGTCAAGTGCACACACATATGTATGTATGTATGTGCAAGCGTAAGTGTATTTCTTTGTACACCATGAAATTTAATAAGTGTATAGAAGAAATATAAATTCGAAAAAGTACTAAAAATAATTTTTTTTCTTCGGAAACTGAAGAAATTTTTTACCTCGCTTAATTAACTTCCAGTATCAGGTATGAAATAATGGCCATTTAATTTATACGAGTATTCTCGTAGACAATTCCTTTCTAAACATACTTAAAATACAAATTATTGTCTGTCAAAATAATTAGAGAAGTTTCCGAGAAACTCTATCGTCGGCTGAGTGGAAGATGGATCTATCTCGGCCTATCCGAGGGGAATCGGGGGATGAACTGTTTTTTTTTTTTTGTGAGGAATTAGGTGTTTACTAATTTTTTCTTTTTTGCTTCACTAATTTCATACCGCGGTAAAAAAAAGTGCATAAGAAATGCAACTACAACTAAAGTACTGAATATGCAACCCTGAAAATTATGCAAATTATCATTTATTTGTTAGAATTTCGTTTGTCGCATTTGCGATCATATAACGAATAAACACAATTTATTTTTATATGGAAAAAACCGCAACATCTTCGGTAAAAAAAAAATCTAAAAGAAAAATTTTTCGCCACTTACAACTTGCACTTTTTTTTTTTTGTAATAGAATTGAGAGGGCTACAAAACTTTCAGAACTCTTTCTAGAAAATCTAATAAAAACGCTCGAAATTTTTATGAAAGTTTGTTTGAATATTGCCCAAGGTTTAAAACTTGGATTTATACTGGTTATGTTAAAGAATGAACTATGTATCTTAAAACAATTAAAATAACTCAAATTAAGTAACAAAAAAAAAAAAAATTCTTCAAAAAAGTTGGGTCGACTGAAATTTTTTTCGACCACTGTAGTATATACGTAAAAACTTACTATATGTCCTTATTTATTTTTTATTTATTAACTAACTTTACAAACGTTTGGTTTGGTTTATGATTACAAGGATTAATCACCTTTAAAAATAAAATAAACAGTAAGACAAGCAATATATCAAAATACATACAAAATTCAAGAAATTTTGGGCAAAATCGGGGAATACCTTTGCCGAAATCTGGGAATTTTTAAAAATTAGTTGTCTACCTTGGTACATATGTACATATGTATGTATGTAAGCTCATATTTAAGAGCGAATCAATTTCAGCACCGGGGCGTATGAGTAACTTATATTGAAGACTTGAAAGTAAGAACTTTACTTAACTTTTGATAACACAGGTCCACAAAAAAAAATCGATGAAAGGTACCTTTGTCCAAACCTTATCCAAATAAATGCTTTAACGTCTTTTTTTCTTGGAGATAGAAGGGCGTCACTCTAAAAATAACAAATAGTGAGATTTGCTCATACACATAGGGAGAAACACGGAGCGGTTAGGGTTCTCCAACAGGGACTATCAATGTCTGGTTAGCACTAACATTGATCCTATCTCTGCTAATCAAAATAATTATCTACGTTCGTCATCTATTATAAGCAGTGCAACCCAAAATGAAGCACTTTTTCAATTCGTATGGCAATTTATAGTATCTTCACTGCGGCCGTTGCACATCTCCATTCTCATACGCAAAACTTTTTGCCTTCAGTTGTTGTTGCTGCAATTGCACTTAATGTGGTCAACCACTAATTCGAAATGTACTTTTTTACCAGCTGCGGTGCCAGCCAAGACTTTACCAATAACAATAACAACAATACGAATGCCTGTTTCAGCATTTAAATAGCAGCGCTGATGATGCCATCACAGTTGCCATATTTAATGCAACCACATTTGTTGTTGTTGTTGTGGCCACTGTTGCAAGCACTTTTGCCATATTTGGTATGCAGTCTGAATCTTCCAGCTGCATTACTTGCCGCTTTTGCTACAAATGATAATGACGATGCTGATGATTCCACCACAACTACGACGAGTACCAGCTGTTGGTTGCGGTTGCCAAAAAGTGAAAGGATTTGGATTTTATTGCTGAATTTTGTTGTTTTAATGTTGCAGTTTTTGTTTTTCGTTTGTTATGTCAGAGTGGTCAGAGTGTATGTATGTTTCAC